GCACATATGTATTTGGTTTTTATGGAACTTTGGTTTCATATAGACTGGAAATTCAGGTAGACTCTGCTCTTTATCGGTAGTAGAAGGGATGTCTGAATGCCCCTATTTCTTTACATCAAAGAATATGTTACAGGAACTTTGTTCTGTATTTTTTATTTCCATTAGCATTATAATCTAGAAATAAAATAAATCTGTTGGGTAGAACATTACTATTCCCAAAACAGAAGAGCTGTGAAATAGCTCAGGAATATATAGAGATGATGTCTGGGTGATATCAGTGGATTAAACTGGTGGCATGTGGAAGAATCTCTTTGTCTTTTAACAGCATCTAAAATTAACAAGTAGATTTTGGAGCAAATATGAGGAAAGATTCGGTACAAGCACACAGCTAATGGCATGACATTACAGGCCTAGGGAGTAGTGGCTGGAGAGATGCCAGACAGAGAGGGAGCTGGGGGTGTTGATGGACAGCCGGCTGAACATGAGCCAGCAGTGTGCCCAGGTGGCCAAGAAGGCCAATGGCATCCTGGCTGGATCAGGAATGGTGTTGTCAGCAGGAGCAGGGAGGTGGTCATGCCCCTGTGGTCAGCACTGGTGAGGCCACACCTTGAGTACTGTGTCCAATTTTGGGCCCCTCACTAGAAGAGGGACACTGAGGTGCTGGAGAGGGTACAGAGATGGGCTGCCAAGCTGGTAAAGGGCTTAGAATACAAGTCTTATGAGGAAAGGCTGAGGGATCTGTTCAGCCTAGAGAAGAGGAGATTGAGTGGAGACCTCATGGCTCTCTATAACTACCTGAAGGGAGGTTGTAGAGAGGAGGGGGTTAGTCTGTTCTCCCTAGTGGAGAGTGAAAGTACAACGTGAAATGGATTTAAATTGTGCCAGAGGAGGTTCAGCTTAGATATTAGGAGGAATTTCTTTACTGAGAGTGTTATCAGCCATTGGAACAGGCTGCCCAGGGAGGGGGTTGAGTCACCATCCTTGGAGGTGTTTAAGAGAAGTGTAGATGTTACCTTGAAGGACATGGTTTAGTGGTGTTGATAGGACTACGAAAAAATTGGACACGATGATCTTGAAGGTCTCTTCCAGAGAAAACTGTTCTAGGATATGATTCTAGTCTATGACAAACCAAGTTTGAAGTTGTTGTGAAAACAAGGAAGTTCAGAGCAAAAGAAATGCAAAAGTGCTAAGTCAATCATTTGTGTAATTCAGACTTTCAGAATATTAACTCTATTCCATGGGCTGGCTATAAAGCAAAAAATAATAGCCGTTCTTTGGCCTTTTAGAATGCCATATTACAGACATATTCAAATCATACTTGCATGTTGTATTGTCACCGTAAGAAAATGTTCCTATCTTTGACTGCATATTTCTTAATGTGATTTTGGTTTGTTTACTGTGCATTTTTATTCCTGAAGGCTGACAATAGACTTTTAATATAGGTAGCAGATATACGTTATGGGCAGCAGGCCATGAATGAATAGATAAAGCTGACAAATTCGTTCAGATCCTTTACTTGTCAATATGTTTTGTATAACATCATGGCTTTTCAACAGAAAAGTTATAAATGTGTGTCTACTTTGAAAGAATAAATAGTTTGATGAATTGATGAGGATGTTCATTAAGAAACCAGAAAATTTTAAAGAAAGTTTATCGTATTATATGGAATGAAATACCCATCTCTATGGATAACAGTAATAATAGTAGTAATAAACCACTGCTAAAACTTTGGCAAAAGTTCTACTTCTCTGAAGCACCGTGTGCTTCACTTAGCTATTCATATGGTTGGTGAGAAAATGTTGTCCTTTATGTGCTTCTTCTAGGGCATAATGGTAAAGCTTTACTCTCTTAATTGATATTGCCTGTATTTTCTTCTCAACTATCTTGAGAAATAGTTATCTATGGAGTGAAGTAATTTGAATATTTTACATTTGACATGCAGTCATCCATGGTTTTTTGTTACAAAACACAGTTTTCTTTATAGATAAGTTACAAGATCCTTCCTTAAATTGTCCGTGAGATGATGTTACTGCTTTCTAGCCAACACTTTTCAAATACTGTTTTAATTTAAAGCTGCGTGCTGAGACCATGGGGTTCACTAGGACTACCTTATTCATAACAAGGGAGCAATTGTTCATAGTTTTGTTGGTTTGTTGTTTTTTTTCTTGTGGATTTAACCTTGGAGCAGTTCCAGCTGTGTTAATAAGCCACAGGAAGCTGCAGTTAACATACGTATGTTTAAAGAAAAAAAAAATCCTTCTCTTACCTAATGCAGAGACAGCTAAGCAAGAGCAGCTGCTTACTGAAGTCACTTTGGTTTTCTCTGCATGTGAAATTAATAACCAAAGACAAGACATGAAGCTAGTTCACGGCTAGTAGTTGGCTCATTTACATCCAGTAGCTGCTGTTGGATATGATTTTCACATATGTGGGTTAACTGTGTTTAATAGGAGAAAAGTCATAATTAATTTCACTTGATGCTTTTGGATGCTTCCAGAGTCATAAATGTAATTTAGTCTAAATAAAATGCAAGTCTTATTTATAGTATGTCACTCTTAAAAAGATTCTTTGGGAATGAACTGTGAGGCAGGCAGGAGAGTTGACAGCAACTCGCAGTATTCCTGTTGTTGTACGGAAAGATATTGCCAATTTATTTGAACCTGCTATTTTAGAGGCCTAAAGAAGGTTAGGGGGACTTCTTTTCCTAGCAAAAAACTAGAGAGCTTCAGACAGATTTCATTTGGTCATCGGCATAAACAGGCAGATGGAGGTTTGGGAATTCTACTTCTGTAGACCCCAACAAGTTCTATCCAACTGAGGATTGCCACCATCACTAAGTGTCATGGTTTAACCCCAGACAGTAACTGAGTATCACACAGCTGCTTGCTCCCTAGGGTGGAGAAAATTGAGAGGTTAGAGGGAGAAAACTTGTGGGTTTAGATAAAAACAGTTTACTTATTTAATAATAATAACAATAATAACAACAACAACAACAACAACAACAGTAATACTACAAAGAGATAAATAAACCTTAAGAGAGACAAGTGGTGCGAATGAAAACAGTCTGGGATATTCCCTTGATCAGTTGGGCTCATCTGACCCAGCTGTGTCCTGTCCCAATTTCTTGTGCACCGCCAGCCTACTCAATGGCAGGGTGGTGTGAGGAACAGAAAAGGTCTTGACACTGTGTAAGAACTGCTCAGCAGCCATGCAAACATCCCTGTGCTATCAACAGTGTTTCCAGCAGCAATCCAAAACATAGCCCTTTACCAGCTGCTGTGAAGAAAATTAACTATATCACAGCAAAACCAGTACGGTAAGGAACGTATTTATGAGCATTTTACATTACAATAGTAGGAATGCCCATGACGCTTCAAAATGAGTGCTGGATTTTGTCTATGGCAAGAGTAATCTTCCTATTTTGTTTTAGCACTGTGTAAGTTCATTGGTGTTGGCTGAAGTCAGGGCCCTGATGTATGCTCCTTCTGATACTCGTGCCAGCTCTACTGCTTAGGGCTACATTATTTAAAAGCAGCTCTATCCTTTTCATTTTGCTTGGTCATCAAAACTTGAAAGGCATAAAATGGTTTTAAAAATATTCTTCTTTTTAATACAGACACTGGAATATAACATTCAAAATAAAACATTACATTTCAGAGTGTTTTTTACTTCTGTTGTTTTCAGTGGAGTTAATATAAATGATACCTACATATAGCTTAAGGTGTTGTTTGAAGAACTTCGGATTTTTTGCTTTGAACGTGTTTTGCCTTTTTTTGTACCCCAGAATTTTTTTACCCCTGCTCCACTCCTTCTCCCTTCTTAGGAAGGAAATAGTAAAAGTTGAAATGTTCTGTCTTATTCAAATCTACTTTGTGATTGTTTTCCTGAACAACATTTTTTGTCACAAGTTCTGTGTCCAAAAACTTTGAGCCAACAGTTCCAGACTTGTGATGAGGTTACTACTTGAATTTCACGTTGTGGATGAGGCATTGTGCTCACAGACTGACAAGTACTTGAATTGTAAGAAGAATGACTTTTATCTTGTTAGCTTAGAATGCTAATTGTGACTAAATTTCAAACACTGTCAAACATTTCAAATTTGCCCTTTACGTGCAAGCATCTAGCAAACATGTTGATCCAGAGGGCACCATTCCATTAAAAGGATGTTCCTGGGAAGAAGGCCAAACACTTGAAACAGTATTTTGATAGCTTACTCTAAAATTTCAAACAACTAATGAGGAGAATTAGGTCATCACTAAATGTTCTTGTGGTCTGAAAAAATTACCATTACCCAAATTAAGCTGTGTGTTCCTCAAGTTTTTACAATTACAGATGTTATACTTTTTAGAAGCTGATGTTGAACTCAGGAGGCTACCATTCAGGCTACTATTTGTTGAAAACTTACGCGCTGTCTAGTAGAGGCATTACAGCATCAACAATGGATATGTTTGTCAGGCTGCAGTCTCCTACAAATTCTTCTAGTTCTGCAGCACCTGACTCTTTTAAAATTTTTAAAATCATTAACCTACTGGACACTGTATCAGTACTTAACAGTGATAACGTTGGGGCATGGCTGTGTGCTTTGCATTTTTTTCTTTTGAGTCTCTCAGAAAAATACCTGTTCATATTTGTGCTCCATTCTTGTAGACATCTATTTTCATTTACAGCAGTATTGATATTCATCTGTGTTCTACTATATCTCATTAAGGTACCTAGCAACACTTTTAAAGAATGCATTTTCTGCACATTGCAGTCTATGTTCAATCAGGTAATATTACTTGATAGTAAGAGTACCACTGCTTGCAATTTCTGTGCTGTATTTTATCCAATATTGTGGTAAAATCAGTCATTATGGCTTATTAGTACCTTTGTCAGATGACTTTAAATATTTATATGACTGACCACAGTAAAGTTTTTGGCCTGTTTCATGTCAGTAATGTCATCATACATATAGTTAGTAATAACACAAAATAATTGAATGTGGTGGTTGTGTTTCCTAGGTATAGCATATCTGAGTGGAATGTGCAGTGAAAAACGAAAATGTATAATTGCAGAGGATAATGGTCTGAATCTTGCTTTTACTATTGCCCATGAGATGGGTCACAAGTAAGTACGTATTTGTTTGCATGTAATATTACTACAGCTTGATTAATTTGGTTGTGTACTTCAATTTTTCCTTTTTTTTCTTTTAGGAAGACTTTTAAATTTAATGAAAACTTTAGATGAGAGTGTTTTTATTATTAATAATAGTGTCATGTATTGATACATAGTATGTAAATTAAGAAAATATTTACAGCTTGGAGTAATACAGGAATCTTTATAGCTAAACAATAACTAGGTTTACTGGAAGGGCTGACATCATCTAGAGGAAAAGCAGGTACCCCAAGATGTTTTTTCTTTGGGGACTGTGCTATTGTATTTGAGATCCAACCCTGACTATTGCTGCCAACAAACATTTTAATGAGATCATGAGTTGGAAGACCTTTTATTTAATTTGGCTTTCTCAGGATAGATCCCATTAAAGTGTATAATGGTCATTGGTCATTGCAACATTAATATTGTTTTTTCCTCCCCTTAATAGAAAAGGATGATAAAATGAAGGTGGAGGCTACTATCCTTCACAATTGGATTGGATGTTTTTTGCTCATTCCATAAGGAATATTTTGAAGCAAAAGTGAAAAATTCTCATGTTTCAGTAATCAAATTTGTTGGTAAAATTTGTATTTGATTCTTTGCTTCATTACTTTTTAAAGAAGAATAAATAGGAGAGTTCTTTGTTTTAAGATAAGGTAAAAAGAAGGTGTGTATTAATCTGTCATTTTTACCTACAGTGTGTGCTCCAGGTATCTGTATATATATTTTTAGAGCAACTGCTTCAGAGTTTTGTTAAATCCTTTGAACTGTTGAATGCTGAGGTTATGTATCTTAGCACAAACATTTTGAATTAAAAGAGATTTGTTTTAAATTTTCTCAAAGCTGTCTGAGAATGGAGGTCATGGCACTTAATGTTGAAATGCACAGTTGCTTACAAGAAAGAACTGGAACTTAAAATATTTCTGTTTAAAATTTGTCCTGGATGCTAAATAAGCAAATTCAGAGCAATTATGGAACTTGGAGGAAAAAGAGTGATGTGAGAATTAGATGCTACATTAGATTGATCTCTTTTTTTATTTCTTGAATTTTCATTGCTGCAAAGAGCAACTCCAGCCAGCTTGTTTGACTGATAGTTATGATAAAGACTGCAAAAGAAAAAACTCTGTGTTTAGTACACATGCTGTCCCTTTTTTCACTGTAGTGTTTGCTAATATTGGAAGGAGGGATGAGTAGAGAGAGACTTACTTGCTGTACACTTATTGTGTGACAGTAAATCAAGAATAAAGGGAAAAAAACAATAAATGGGTATGGTTGGAAGATAAGCTCTACAGGTATAATATTACCAGATAATCTAGAGAAATATAAGTACTGCCTTATGTTCTGCACAATAAAAATATGTTTAGAGAATAAAAGTCTTGGCAGCAGACTTACTGGATTTTTAAAAAGTGACATCTTGATGAACTAGAAATGTAACACCTTATACTTCCTGAGAAACGACAATGCACACAATCCTAGATGTGGAAAAAGGGAAGCAGGCATAAGATTCTTGCAGAATTATAAGTGATGTGTCACTTCTGCACGAGCAAATTTGAGAATGTGGGATCCCGATCTTTTAAAGGTCAGACCTATCTTTGACATTTTAAGTGCTGCTGCGTGCCGAACAGTATCCGGAACAAGTTAGACTTGTTGCTGTCTAGCAGCTCTTCCAAGACTGCTGCACAGGTGAGGTTGTATAACCCTTGTTGCATTTGCTTCTCAGCTTGAAATGTTTTCTTGGCTTTGCAGTGGGACTAAGGAAGAGATTCAGCATGATCTTTCTACAGAGACATAAAAACTAAATTGCTGATACTTGAATCCTGGGAAAAATGTTAAAGGCTACACTATGAAATTTCAGAACTTTCAAATCCATCCATATTAATTCAGATAAAAATCTGGGAAAACCAAATCATTAGATATCCCAGCCATCATATTCTGACAGGAATAATGACATTTGGGTGTCCTTAGAGACATTCTCACATTTTTCTCCAGGTACTGTAATAGACATTTAAAAACAATGAAAGTAGAGAATAAACCAAATCTGGTTTCATAGTAAAGGATGGGATGTTAGAACCACACATTTCTTAAAGAAATTCAACCTCACGAAGTCTAGTAACAAGCTGCACAGGAATTAGGAAGACTACTGCAAAAGCGAAAGAACAGGTACCCAGAGATACGTTAACAACTGCCACAAAAAGTGAAAAGAAAGGGACAGCCTCCACTGCGAAAGACACAGAGGCATTCAGCTTGGTCTTTGCGACATTATGGAGGCAGAGTCCTTAACCATTGCAATCTGAAATAGAGTTGTCTAGCACCAAAGAGAATAAGTTGATGTTTCAGAAACGTTTGTTTTCTCTGCAGGACTGTCTCTCTACTAGCCTAGCAAATATTGACTTATTTTTTGCCTAGTATCTTTAACATTTCTAGTTGCTCTTGTTGTGAAGAGAGTCCTGTTCAGCAGCACAGGAGAAGGAAAAACTTTCTCACACCCTTAATTTTTTTTATTCTCTGTACAAGTTTGCCCATAAACTCTATAATAATAAAAGCATCTGTCCACTAGTCTTTGTGAATAAGTTACTAATGTGGAGTAAGAATATCATTAAAATAACTTTAAAAAGCTATCATTATATTTATAAGGTTAAAATAGACTTTTACAGCTGAATTTGTGTTTAACAAGGAAAAAGATAAACACATGGAAAGCAAAAGTTTTAACTAAGTTCAAAGTGACTATATGTTACTAATGTTTCCAGTGATTTTTTTTCCCCCTGCAGGCTTTCTTTTGTAAAGTACTAGAACTTTTAAGCCTCTGCTTTAATTTTTTTGGAATCTTTTCATTTATGCTGACTTATAACTTATTTCTTTGTAATTGTAAACTTGAGAACCAATGAGATACCTAAACTTGTTGATCTAGGTGGCTGAGAAATTAGTTTCTTAACACCCCCAAAGGCTTTTTCTTTATTTTGGCCTTAAAGTACCAACTTTACTGTTGGTTGGGACCTTCTTTTTGTTTTCAGTTTATGCTTTTCTCTCTCACCTTTCCTTGATGTGAAACTGTTCCTCTCTTTCTAATTCCTATTTAGAAAGACATATGCCTTCCATTTCAAATAAATCCTCTAAAATTTGGGGTTTTTTTTGTTGTTGCCTGTATTTGTTTTTTGTATACTAGCATGAAGGAGATAACATTTTGGAGCCTTGTAATTCCAAGCAGCAGAACAATCCTGTCATATTTATAAGCATAAGCAATGAACGTCTAGGAAGTGTAGATGAATCTCAAAATATACCCATCTTTTATATGCTATGCATAGTATTTCTCTTAAAGTGTATCTGCATAAGAGAGATACCCTGATGTAATATGTTTAGCCGGCTCTGATTTGTTGATTAATTATGGAATTAAAAGACACTTGTAAAGTGTAGGTTGTTCAGCCTAGGGTGTGTTGAGCTGACATGGTAGGACAGTTACTTCATTCACTGATCATTAAGCCAAGCCTTTATTCAGAATGGCCGTAATGTCACTCTGGCGTCCCTCTCTCTCAGAGCTCTTGTTTCCCAGCATCCCAACTTAGTTTATCTTGGGGTCTGACAATGCTGGGTGTTCCTGTGGCAGTGGCTACGAATTAAGAAAGAATCTGCTGCAGAACTGTTTTGCCACTTCTGTGGCAAAATTTTTCTGTCCTTTTAGGCTAGCGGTCCAAAGCTGAGTTTCTCAGTCCAAATTTAGATGTGTAGATGCAGGCGTCAATCTATCTGTCAGTAGATTCAGGTATCAATAGATTGAGATAGTTGGATACAGAAGCAGCCTCTCTGTCAGAGATTTTGAGGTTTAATAGTTTTGACTGATTTTCATCATCACTGAGTTTTTTGTTCAAAATAAGGTTATTGTTGATTGTCAACTGAAGTTGACATGGGAACCCAGCTTTGAGCCATGTAATTTGAAAAGCACGGCTGCAGTTTGCAAAATTGGGCTTTATAGTAATTTTTAAAATGCATGCACAACAAACTATAAGAAATTATCTTTCCCGTACACATATTTGTATTATTGACAGATACACAGAGAAATGACTGTACTTATGGGTAGCTGCATAAAACATGCACATTTTTCAATTATTTTTGGTATTGTTTTGCTATCTTTGGTCACTTTTTCTGTATGTCTTATTAAAAAATACTCACATTACATGAAATTTTATCTCTAAAGCATAGTACTTGTTTAATAAGAAACTCCTTTTATTAAAATTACTGTTAACAAGAAAGATGCAATGCTTCCCCTTTGTTACTTATTGTTTTGATAAAAGGTAATAGGGGGGTTTCACTTTGTATTGCATTTCAACATTACATATTCTTTATTTCAAACATGAGTTATATGAGAATCGCCCCAATAGTTTAATCACAAATGTGCTTTTTTTTCTTCTATTAGATTAGGAAAATAATCCATAAGATAGCTGTTCAAAATTATTGCCATAAAAAGTCCACAGTGTGCTGACTGATCTTTAAAAGTTTTTTTAAAAAATCTTCCTTTTTTAAAGAAAAATTTATTTCAAAGTAATTCACAATATCTAGCTGATGTTCAACCATACAAGCAGGACGTTTAATACCCCTTCAATAGGAAGTCATGGCAAAAGAATAACACTGTTGCAACAAAGCAGACACAAGGTCTGTGAGATCACCTTGGATTCTGTTATTCTGTTTTCATGCTTTGCTAGATAAATTCTTTAAAATTCTATAGTTTCTGGCCTTTCTGCATGCTTATTAAAGTAGGCATCTGTGTTCCACAGTCATGAAGTTATGCTGATTTGAATCAGCCTAGAATCCTATTGGTCAGTTTGCATGTATCATACCAAACTTTCTAGTGGCCTGAAAATTGTTCAACAAACTATAATTAGAGATGACAGCAAAGGATGCAGGTTATTACACACTTTGCATTTTCATTTAACTCTTCCTCCTAAAATTTATGTGGTGATTCAAAACCATGTCTAAGAACA